GCCTGCAGTGCCCCCCCGGGACCATGCATCCATCGCTGTCCCCTCCGGAGCTTTCCCAAGGAGGAAAAGTGGCGGCGGGGTGCGGGCCCTGGGTCAATATTGGCTTTCTGGTTAACGAGTAACGGGGCCGAGCGAGCACGGCCGCGGGTGTAAAAGCTCAGCTTTGGCAGAGCCGAGATTTGAACCCAGCCGGCGCCGTGCCAGGGCTGGCACGAGAGGCATGGGGCAAAGGGGAGGGATTTTTCTGGGGGAAAACACCCGGTTTTGTGCTTTGTGCTGTGCTGGAGGCTGTACCCACGGCACGTTTTGGGCTCCGGCGGCTGGCGGCAGTAACTGGACGTGCAGGACACGAGGGATGGGGGTCACCCAGCCAGATTTATCTCGGGTTTAGCTCCACATTGAAAGGCTTTGAGCCTTTAAATGGCAGCGATGCCAGCCCTGGATTTCCTTGGAGCTCCATGGCTGGCACTAATTGCTGTGTTAATGACTGCCGTCGCCCTCCCTTGGTCTCGTGCAGGGCTCCCCAAATGCCACGCTCACTGGCAACACTGGGTTTGGGGTTTTTTTTCAGCCCTGCTTATTTATCAGCCGGCGTTGCCTTCCCAGCCACCCGGCTTGAACGTTTCTGTTCCAGTTGGCAAAGGTTTTATGGAGCGTGGCGAGCAGGAAGCGCCGCCACGCACCGGCAGCAGGGGCAGGGGCTGAGCTCGGGCGCTCGGCTCCTCTTCGGGACGGCCAAAACTCCTCGCCCACGAGCGAGCGCGGCCGCTGCCACCTCCCCCCAAAAAAAAAAACAAAAACAAAAGGAGACGATGAAGCAGCAGCTTGGGCATCGCCTTTTCCTCTGCGCGGCTCCGAAAGCCTCAGTGCTGGCATTTAACTGACTCCAGACACACGCTGTACGTGCACACGCATTCTTTGGCCATGCGCTCAGACCGGAAAAGATTGAATTCAGCCCAGGAGCCCGAGCAGGGGAAAGAGAGTCCACGGAGAAGCTCTGAGTTAATCAGCCTCCAGAAAAGCTGTAGTTGACTTTTTTTTTAATTTTTTAATTTTTTTTTTATTTTTTGGAGAAGTGGTGCTAAAAGAGGAACCGCCAAGGGACGCGTGGTTGGAAAGGCCTAGCTGGAGAAGGGGGCGGGGGGGCGGGGAGCAAGAGGGTTTTGTGCACACCAGCCCCATCGTGTTGGGCTCCGAGAGTCTCCACGCCAAAAGGCAGGAGCCGGGGCTGCTCAGGACCCGGGTTTTTGGCACTGGGGGCACTGGGATGGGTGTTCTCAGCCCCTCCATCGTGCTGGGTTTCTGTGCTGAACCAGCTTCACCCCCAAACGGTGCCGCAGCGGGGTGGTCGGGTGCTCGGTGCTGCACCAGCACCCGGTTTCGGCTCTGTTCCCAAAAAGTGGAACGGGTTTTGGGGAACAGCTCCGCCATGCCCTGAGAGCTGGGAGAGGATGGGAACCCGCCAGCCCCTCTGAGCACAGGGAGGGAAGGGAGCAGCCCCCGGGCACCGCTCGGCCTCCCTCTGGGGGAGCCTCCCTCACCCCAGCACCACCCCAGCCCTGAGCTTGGGTCCTTTCCTCCTTTCCTCCCACACCTGCAGGCAAAAGAAAAGCAAAGCCGGGTGGTGGGGCCGGCAGGGCCGCCTCCCCTCGCCCGGATCCTCGACCTGGCAAGGGCGCAGGCAGCAGCGGGGCGTTGAGCCATCGCTGCCTCCCAGGAGGGCGCAGCAGGATGTGCCTCATTACTCACCTCGCCCTCCCTATCTGTCATCTGCGAGTGCCCCAGCCTGAACTGCAGGTTTGGGAGCCGCCTGGCGCGTACCCACACAGCCCTCCCGAAGCTTGGGTGCCGCGGTTTTGGCAAGAAAAGGCTGCAGGGGAGCCGGGAGATGTTAAAAGCTTCCATGGATGCAACGCCGGCACCGGCATCTTCTTTTTAGCCATAGTCCCTTGGGGTCCCCACTTGCCCTGAGCCCCTTCTGCAGAGCCAGGGAACCAGCAGCACCATCCTGCGGGCCCCTTCGTTAAGCAGCACCCAGCTCATTAGCAAGCCAAACGAGGAATAAGCTGCAGGAGCTGTCAGTTCAGAAAAAAAATCAAAATGCTGGGAAGCTCCGGGTTGTCGGAGCACAGGGCTGCCAGGAGCTGGCACCGCCGGGCGGAACCAGTTAATCCATGGGGCCGGTGCCAGCGCCCCAGGAGGAACCAGTTTGGCTCCTGGGAGCCCTTCCCGAGTGTGGGATGAGGGGACAGGGAGTGGGGCATCCCCACGCCACACCGGGAAGCAGGAGGACCAGGAGGCACGGCATGGGAGCAGCAGCTTTAGGGCCGTGCCCTGGAGATTTGGGGTGGGAAGAGGCGCGCACACACAAGCTGGGAAAGCTTCAGGGAGGCTGCCAGCCAGGAAAGCAGGAATAAGGGCCACGGCGGAGAGGAAAGCTGGGCAGTTTTGATTCTCTAAGGGTGCAGCTTCACATTTGGTGACGGGAAAGAAGCCCCTCGGGATGCTGAGGGGTGAGGGCTGCAGGGCCCGGGGCTGGAGGAGCCGCGCGGGGCGAGCTCGATGGCTGTGGCTCGGTGCTGCTCCCACTGCCAGCAGCTTTTTTTCTCCTCTCGGCCACTCTTGCAGCCAGCAGGTGCTGGGGAGGCTTTCCCAAAGCTCTGCACCGGGCAGCAAGGAGAAACCCAGCACGGCGGCGGCGTTTCCCCAGCCGCTGCCCCTCGCCCCCCTCTCCAGACCTTTTATTTTCGGTGCCGCAGCCAGGAGGGCTCTGCGGGGCGAAAACAGAGCTGAGGACACGAAGCACGGGCTGCGGGGTGACCAGCTAAACGCAGTAATCTGAAAACTTAATGAACCAGGCCTGCTTCGGGGGGGGGGGAGGCAGAGCCAAGCCGTGGCTTTGTCTGCGGGTTGGAGTTCGAGCTCCCCGGCGAGAGCGCGCGGCGCTGGCCGGGCGCTGGGTTCGGTCCCAATTCGGGCAGAGGATTGAAAGCCTCAAGTACGTGATAGGAAAAGCTTCCAGGAGAGCTGGGCCGGCTCCAAACTAATCCAGCCCCCGTGGGGAAAGGGCGTTCTGGCAGATGTTAAGCTAATGGGATAACTGCGAGCGCAGCCCAGCCCGCTGCGAGGCGGCCGCTGAAAGTTCCCAGCCACCGGGAGGGCGCCCGCTCGCCGGCATCCCCCGGCCTGCAGCAGGAAAAGGGGAAGACGTGGAAAGCTCCTCGGGGTAAAAATGGCAGATCTGAGCAGCACGAGGAGGGAGCAGGCCTATAAATGGGGCTGGAAGAGCCACAGCTCAGCTCTTGCTCTGCAGCTGGGTCTCGGCGAGGGGCAGCGGGGGCACAAATGGCCCCTGGCTGAGCCTGGACCCGCTGGTGGCACCCCCAGGGGCGAGGATCCCCCATCCAAACTAAGGAAAAAAAAAGAAAAAGTGTTTAAAACCTCACCAATCTCCTTCTCTTCCAAAAGAGACACCCATCAAACCCTACTGAATTTCTGTTTTATTTCCCGAGCGCCGTCCCACCAGCAGCCAGGGAAGGGGAAACCTCCCTGGCGAGGAGGAGCAGAGGGCTGAGACTCAAACCCCGTGCGGCTGCAGCACCCGGCAGCTGACTCACACTTTTTGCTTTTCTTTCAGCCTTTTTTTTTTGTTGTTGTTTTTGTTGCAGGAGGGCAGAGGTACCTGTTCTTGGGCAAGCGCGGCGGCTTCCCGGGCAGCGCGGGGCACGTCCCGCCTGCAGCGAGCCGCGGGCGGAGAGAGCAAAACCCTCCCCGCCAGCGCCACGGGGCTCTGACTCAGCCATTTCCCCTTCAAAACCCAAGGCAGGGCGAAAATGACGCCGCTCTTCGTGGTGCTCCAGCTTCTGAATGCGAGCCTCAAGCCCCGGCAGCGGGCACGGCTCCGAAACTTTTTGGTGCTGAAGCCGGCGTGGTTCGAGGTTGCACACCCGGAGCTGGACCAAGGACAGAAGCACAAACCCTCACCGAGCCCAAACCCCAAAACCCTGAGTGCTTTAATACAAATTTACATGTTGCAGGCTCCCCTCCCTGCGTGCTGCCCGTTCCCAAAACCAAGGACACCGCACCCAGCACCGCTCGCCCAACTTTTGGCCCGTTTTGGGGACACAGCTCGCTCTTAAAAGCTGAATGTTGCTCCTGGGGGGGATCATTACACACACCCAGGTTGTGTTAGAAGAGTTAATTTCCAATCGGGAGGGGGCAGGTGCATTTTTTCCACCCCCTGCCCACGAGCCCCGTGGCCGGAGCCCCGCAGTGAGTCACGGCGAGGCGCTGGCACGGGGAGAAATGAGGAGGGGCTGCGATGACAGGGCTGGATTCACGCTCCTGGAACCGTGGCCACGGCCCCAAAGAAGCTGAATGAATCCGGAGTGGGTTCATTTACACAGCCACACCCTGAGCTGGCGTGCAGGCAGCCGGGGCCCAGCCCCAGCAGGAAGGCTCGGTTGAGGCTCACAGCCACCAGGTACCCCTGCACAGCCCAACCTGGTGATTTCCTGCCGTTTCCCAACGTTTTTGCAACCCCAAGACACCGCCAGCATCCCCACGCTGTGCAGCGGGGTGCTGGAAGCCCACTGTGAGCACCCCATCCCACTGCCCCGACCCCCACGCCGTCCCCGCTGCACCTGCCCGAGGCCTTGTGGGGCTCGCTCCCATTTTTTGCTCCCTTTCCACTCACCCAATCCATCCATCCATCCATTTCTGCGTTCCCTACGCTGCCCTAAAACCCCTCCGGGTGGTTTTTATGCCGTGCCCTCCCGCAGGGCTGCACCGCCCCAGAAAGATTGCTGGCTCCCAGCGGGGGTACTAAAGCATCTTCCTCGCCATTTATAAGTCGCTGATCGGAGCCCCAGAGGATCCGCAGCCGGGCTGTGAAGCACAGAACAGAGGCCCCTTTATGCCGGCACAAGGCACCGCTCCGGTACCATATTGCCCCTTTCTTTTTCTCTCAAAATTCAACGTAAGCAAGATACCAGGAGAGCTCCGCTGTATAATTGCTTTATTTTCTGCTTATTAGTTCTTTACCAACACTACAGCCATATTGAGAACACAAAATTCCTGTTTACTTGTCAGGGAGATCACAGTCTACAAACTCATTCACTGATCAGACACGATTAACGCCATTCAAAACTTACTCCATAAATTCACATGAACACAGATTGATGCGCTTGAACTTCAGATCAGTTCTTAAAATCACCGGCTTGCTGACAGATTTGCCCCTTCCTCCCGCAGGCTGCGTTCGCTGCCTGCTCGCCACCAGTTCGTGGTGAGGTTCAGCTCTAAGCTAGAAAGGAGATTTTGAAAGTGAAACCGCTGCGTTGTGTTCGGTAGCAATGGCCATTTATTTTTGAAGTCTCCGCCACGCTTCAGTAACTTTTTCTCCCCCTCCCCCCCCACCAAAAAAAAAGACATTCAAAAAAAAAAAAAAATCAGAAGCATAATCAGTTTCCTTCTCACCTACAAAAAACAGAATATCTAAAGTAACAAAGCTGCTAAGGAAATACAAAATCGTGACTGCAACTCAATGGAAGGCTAGCGAAGAAGTCTGCCCCGGCGCTGGAAGAGAACACACAGTAAATCAACTCAGACGGAAAGTGAAGTCATTGAAATTTTCATTTTGACTGAGAAGAGGCTTAAGAAAGTTCAAGAACCATGAATAGAGCTTCAAGTTTTCCAGTTTAGGCATTTACTTTGTGCTTGGCTATTTTATTTATGCTCCAGAAGAAAACAGTAACCACATTCGTGTATTTTTAGGCTCGATACCACCACACCGTTAAGTTACATCGACAGAAGGAAAAAAAAAAAATAAACCCTTGCGCTTGTAAAGAGCCAGAAAATAGAGCAGTGATATCCCAACGGCAAGAAGAAGACTCGAGCAGAAGGCAAGTCTCACCTCCTCTGCTTCAGAGCTGAGAGCTAGGAGTTATTTTACGCCCCGCTTACTTCTGCGGGCTCCCCTCGGCTCGGGCAGCCCGCGGCCCATCAGTGCTCTATCTTCCAGCACCACCAACCCATCCCGGCCCATTTGCAACCCCAAAAAGATCCACCGCCTGGAACCGCGTTCCCAAATAACTTTGAAGCGGTCCCAAGCGCTCAATTTCAGAGGTGAACTCATATATATTTTTGTTTTATCTTCCCCTTCATCTTTGGTAAGAGCTCCATATACAATACGCTTTGCATGCAGAGTCAACACTGCGGAAATGTAGTGTAATGCCCCCGATCTCATGTAAAACTCAGATCCTTGGAAAAAGAAAGAAAGAAAAAAACAACAAAAAAAAGCCATTTTCTTCTGGTTTTGTAGCATACATTCCTAGAATTCCCCAATCGAGTTTAACTCCTTGAGGAAAACTGAAGATAATCCTTAAGGCTGAATGAGAACCAGCTGCTTTGACTGTTTTTTGCACCCAGCGTTAATACTCGGTCGAGATTTTAGGCTAATACTGGTTCTGGGTGGGGTTTTTTTTTCGCCAGCCACACCTGCACGCTGTGACAGGGCCGGCGAGCCGCTCGCCCTTTAAGAACTACTTGTGGAAGTTTACATTCATAGTCGTATTCTCCCTCTCTCCTCCCCGCTCTCATTAGCAGTTCCTCAATGGGCCTCAGCCACCCACCGGAGTTCCCTTCCTGCAGGACTTCAGCAACAACTCGCCGCGGGGACACAGCTGGCGAAGGCTGCCCCTGTCTGCACCAGCCCAGCCTCGCCTGGGGGAGCCACCCCAGCGAGCCATTTCCTCAAAATGGCAAGGCGATGGCAGAACTTCGGAGCTCAGGGGAAGCTCGGCGCTGCGCCGGCCCCTTGGGCAGCCTAAAAGTGGGCAATCGGGGCGCTCCTCACCCCACCACAAATGGGAAATCCTCTCCAGACTGAGGCGCCTTCGGCCGCCGTAAAACAAAACTCGTCTTTTCCCCAAGGCAGGCAGGTCGGCGCCAGATATTTTTGCCTGAACGCCTGCGATTTAAAGTCAAACTCGATGCAGTGCCTGCGCGTTCCTGCTGCCTTTTTCTGGAAGGAACCTGTCTTGCACTGAACCGGAGACTGGCCCAGGCAGTAAAAACTGCGGCTACACATCCCCGAGTTCGCAATGCAAGAGAGAAACCGAACGGTGGAGACCCTGCAACTCTCCCATCATTCACGGCTTATTTGCTATATGGTTGCTATGTGGTATGGGGAACTTATTTGCATCCCTCCTCATGCATGATGTATGGTTCAGAACTTCACAGCTGACATTTCAAAGCAGCTCTTACATTACCTAGTTAACATTATGCCTGATATGCACTTTGAACATGTTACAATGGTATTCTCACTATCTGCCACGCTCGGCAGGAATTCGTTTCGTTATTAGTCTGAGATATGAAGCCAGACCAAGAGTCACTATTCGGTTACAGATTAACAGAACTTTAAAAAAAAAAAGTCCTTAATATAAAAAGACAGACGGCGGTTTGATTTTAAGCAATAATTTTCAGTTTACTAGATGAAGGAGACCTAGCAACATATTCCGCATGAATGCAAAAAAGTAGCAATCTACAGCAAGTGATAGAAGAGGGAAAAAAAATATATATATAATCAAAAAAAAAAGTAGAACCAGAAAGCATACGCTGAAAATGGTACCCCTCCCCCAACCGTCCCCCAAAATAATCAAACCATCTTAAGGGCTATCAAGAGGAAAAAAAAAAAACAAAAATCAAAAAAAAAAAAAAGTTACTTAGCAAGTCTACAATGTGTCTTTCGCCTGTTTGCTGGAAGTCTGCCATAGCATCTAGTGCTCGCGTTCGTGTCACATTCGGAGATTAGAGCATCCTAACGCCAAGCGAGAAGAGTTAAAACAGGAATCCAGTCAAGTGTGGAGAAGGAAGGAAAGGGTGGTAACTGGAGAAAGGTGATCATAATCCTATGGATGCTTTTGTTTTACTTTTCAGTAGAGAATCATTCTTCCGGAAAGCCACGTGGGTTATTTTTTTTTTTTTTTTTCTCTTTTAATTCTTTGTAGACTAAATAGTTACTCTCTCATTAGGATTTATAATTGGACGTTAACCATGTCAGCCCTTCGTAGAGTCCGTCCCCTGTAGTAGCACAGGAGGGCTGCACGTACCAATTCCTATCCCTGATCCGGGTCAGGCCCAGTTTCTCCTGGATTTCGTGGGGTTTCATGGCATCGGGCAGGTCCTGCTTGTTGGCGAAGATGAGGATGATGGCGTCCCGCATCTCCCTGTCGTTGATGATGCGGTGCAGCTCCTGGCGGGCCTCGTCGATGCGGTCGCGATCGGCGCAGTCCACCACGAAGATCAACCCCTGCGTGCCCGTGTAGTAGTGCCTCCAGAGCGGCCGGATCTTATCCTGGCCGCCGACGTCCCACACGTTGAACTTGACGTTTTTGTACGTGACCGTCTCCACGTTGAAACCCACGGTGGGGATGGTGGTGACCGACTGGCCCAGCTTCAGTTTGTACAGGATGGTGGTCTTGCCGGCCGCGTCCAGCCCCAGCATCAGGATCCGCATCTCCTTGTTGCCGAAGATCTTGGACAGCACCTTGCCCATCCCGGCGGCATCCAAGGGCCCGGCGCCTGCTGAAGGAGGGGGAGCCGGAGGGGGGCAGCGCAGCGGGGCCGGGCGGGGCTCAGCGCCGGCCGAGCATGAGGCGGCGGCGGCGGCAGCAGCAGCAGGAGGGGACAGCGGGGCCGGGGCTGCGGGCAGGGCCCCGCCGGGCCTCGCCTCGCCTTCACCTCACCGGGCCTCGCCTCACGGGGCCGGGCCTCGCCTCACGGTGGGTGTGAGGTGAAAAGGGGGGGGGGGGGGCCCCGCCGGCCGCCTCAGCTCATGGGACCCCGGCGGGGCTCGGAGCGGCGCAGTCCCGCCCGCGGGGCCGCCTCCGGTTACCTGTGGGCGGCTCCGAGCCGCTCTCAGCCCGGCTCCGCTTCCCGGTTCCCGGCTCCTTTCCCTTCCCTTCCCCTCCCCTCCCGCCGCCGCCGCCGCCGCCTCAGGGACCGGGCGCCGCGCGCCGCCTCGCTGCCCCCTGCCGCCGCCGCTACTGCGCATGCGCGCCGCGCCCCGGCCCGCCCCCGCCTCTGCGCATGCGCCGCCGCCGCCGCCGCCGCCGGCTTCCCGCGCGCGCTGGGGGGAGGGAGGGGCCCCGCCCATGCCCGGCGCTGATTGGTTGAAGGGGGGTGTGTGTGGGGGGTGCTGATTCCGGAAGGGAGGGGCACCGCTAGGGAGGGGGTGGGAGTGCGCATGCGGGAAAGGAGGGGGCGGGGTTTGGGTGGGGAGAGGCGCCACGCGATCACACGTCAGCGGGAGGGGGTGGGGGGCGCGGAGGGCGCGTCTTAAAGGGGCAAGGGCCAAAGGGAGTCTTAAAGGGGCGTGCGCGGGGCGGGACGGTGGGGACACACCGCGAATAAGGGGGGCCCAAAAGTGCCGGGCGCGGCCTCGGGGGGGGGGCTTGGATGGGAGAGGGGGGCAGAGCTGCACCCTGCAGCCCCCCTGCAGGAGGGGAGCTCGGTCACACGCCAATACACAGCCCCACTGCAGCACAGGGCACTGCTCATTGATGGTCATTGGGTATTGCCCATTAATTATTGGGCATTGCTTATTAATTGTTATTGGGCATTGCTCATTAATTATTATTGGGCATTGCTTAATTGTTATTGGGCATTGCTCATTAATTGTTATTGGGCATTGCTCATTAATTATTATTGGGCATTGCTCATTGTTACTGGGCATTGCTCATTAATTATTGGGCATTGCTCATTGTTATTGGGTATTGCTCATTATTGGGCATTGCTCATTAATTATTATTGAGCATTGCTCGTTGTTATCAGGCATTGCTTATTAATTATTATTGGGCATTGCTCATCATTGGGCATTGCTCATTGTTATTGGGTATTGCTCGTTAATTATTAAGAGCATTGCTTATTAATTGTTATCGGGCATTGCTTATTATTATTGTGCATTGTTCATTAATTATTATTGAGCATTGCTCATTAATTATTGATTTCCACAATCGGCTCTCCAAGCACAGTTTGCAGCCCCCAAACACGCCCTGGGTTCAGGGACCTCTTTGTGGACCCACTCAAGTATTAAAATCTCCCCTAGGTCTTTGGACTACACGCAGCGTTACGGGGCAGCCTGGGGAAGTTCAATATTTTTAAAAGCCAGCCCTGGCTGAGCACCTGCTGTGTGCCAGCGAGCATCCTCAGCCTGGGGAGCACACAGCAATTAGGGTTATGAGGTGAGCGGAGGTCAGGGCCTGGGGAAAAAGAGACCTGGAGACACCCCGAGGGCCTTCTGGTCGCTCCGTCTGGGCCTGGCTGCAGGCTGTTTGTAGTGTTTTTTCCCCCGGCAGGGCAGCTCCCGAGCTTTGCAGCTATTTTTGCGTCTTTCCCCATTTCGTAAGGCTGTGTTTGCGTGCCCTGTCCTCCACCGGTGACCTAAGTGCTATCGCAAGAACGTGGGGGAAGACAGTGATGTGCTTTACGTAACAGCCCTCGTGGCAGATAAGCAACCCTCAAGGAATTGGATCAACCCCCTCCCCCCTTGATTTTTATCCCTTAAATATAATTTCCCTTCCCAGTCAGTTTGGGTTACCAGGCCAACCCTATTTTCACACGCTTCCTTTCATCTTGCTTACTTTCTTCTCCTCTTTTGGCAGAGCGAGATGGGAAAAGACCTGCACAGATCTCCTTCAAACACCCTTGTGGCCTCCCAGGGAAGGCCGGGGCAATGCAACAATGCTTTGGTTTTGGCATCTGTGTTGGCTAAATTCTTCTGTTGTGAAAACAAATGACATCCTTGGCAGGACGGGCGCATGCCGACGGTGGTTTTCTTATCACTGGGATTTGATACGGAGGGCCAAGTGCCACCTTTTTTTTGGGGGGGAGACGAGTCAGAGCAGCACTTTCCACGAGTGACGGGCTGTGGTCACCCCGGTCTGCAGGCAGGGAGTGGCGGTGACGGTCCCCCGGGGCGCCTCAGCCGTATTTCCTGCGATTCTGCGATGTCTGTGTTTGTGCAACCGCAGCCGGGCTGGGCCAGGAAGCTGAAGCTTCAGCCTGCAGCACAAGCTTTGTCAGTAAATCAGCATTAAACAGATCCTCAGCCCCTTCCCACGAGGTTAACATTGCCCTGTGAGGGCAGGAGTGAAGTGTTGTCGAGGGCTGCAGGTGCAGGAGGTGTCTGTGAGCCCCTCTACATGCTGGGATGGTGTGGTGAGGACCTGGGGAACCCCCAGAAATCCTAAATTTCTCATCAGGAGAAAGCCCTCCTGGTCTCCCTGGATGTCCTCCAGCCTCTGCAGAAGTGGGGAAGAGCCCTTGGGAAGTGACCTCCCTGCAAGGCGAAATAATTTGGCCTCCAGGCTGTTTGGGTTTGTTTTGTACCAGAAGTCCGTTTGCCATGCCTTTGCAGTTTCTGCTGGCAAACGAGCAGGCTCCTCCTCGCACAGGTTATTTCTGGGAGCAGACAGAGGAAATGTAGGTGGGAATTGCTGTGTGACCGAATTTCCATAATCCCGAATTACTGCCGTGACAATGTCGGCCTGAAAAATCACGAAGCCTTCACAAAAAAAATATAAAAATAACTTGTGAGGCCTTTCCTTCCCTCCTTGGTTTTTTGTGTGTGTGTATTTTCACACCCTGCATTTACCAGCAGCAACAGAGCAGGAGACGCAGCAGTGACCTCCAGGACTGGGCTGGTCATGGTGGCTTGCCCCGTGGAGACCCGTGCCCTGGGGTTTTGGGATCTTGAACCAGGGCATCGCTGCTGCCCAGGTGTGGCTTTGCAGAGGCTGAACTAGGATTGTTTCAGCCCTCCTTCAAAGGGTCTCTGGTGAAAAGGCAGCGTGAGCTTTGCCTCCTTGTGAGGAGAGGAGCTCTGTGGCTCTGTGGCTCTAAGGGAGCCCAGAGCAGCCGGCGAGGTGCTACGAGTGGCTTCAGGCTGTACTGAGGGGCAGATGAGGTTTCCCAGCTCTGAGTGGCCTCGTTCATCATTTCAGGAGCTGTTTGGAGGCCAAGAATGCCAGGGTGCACCCCTGCTAGCAGCTGGTACTGCTGCAGGACTTTGCTTCTGCATCCCGGCCATGCCCCATCCCTCCTCAGTCTGCCAAGCTCGTTCCTGACAAATTTCCTCAGGCAAAATTTCCTTCACTCCCCTGCTATCTTGATCCACTCCTGCTAGTTTTTTTTATGTGATGAAGAGTGTGCATTTGTGGTAAAAAGTGTGCGTTTGTGGCCAGACAGCACGGCACAGTTACCAGCAGGAGGAAGGGACACTAGGCCTCGCTGGGCAGCGGGCAGGTGCTGGGGGCTGCCTCTGCCTTGCTTCTGCCCCTCTTTGTGGATATCGAGCCTATGTTTCCTCAGGCCCATGACCCTACAGTCATTAACTAATGTCATTAGCCACCACTCCAGCTGTCGCTGCTGACAGCTATTCCTTAAGTCAATAAGGGGAGCACGGAACGAGGTGTCTCTGCCACCCAGCATTAACACACTTGGTGACGCCTGGCTTGTATGGTCTGGGGAAAAAAAAATAGGCCATTTTGGCAATGGCAGTGCATGGTTTGGGATCACCCCTAGCTATATGTTAGGCAAGGTGCAGCACAGTTTACACGTCTGGATTAGACCAAAGGCTGCCTTCGCTATCTGAGCCCACTGGCTCCAAGATTTGGTCTCTGTGGGTGCCAGTGAGAGGTGTCTGCAGCGTCCCTCAGCCAGCCCAGCTTGGAAACAGAAGTGCTGAGGTACTGACAGGACAACTCCTGGTCTTACCCCTGCCATCAGAGAGGTTTCAAAGACTGTTTATCAATATAGGTGCTTTATATATATAAATATATATATATGTATATATATAAATTCATGGGATGTCTGGGGGAGCTCTCTTGGACAGTCCTCCGGCATGCAAAATACACAGGGGAGGTCTCAGATGCCCTGTGAAGGTACTTTTAGATGGTCGTCTATTGCAGCAGTGAACAGATAAAGGCAAGAAGCTCCTGCATTTTATTCTTTTCATTACATCTCTGTTATTTTTACGTCCTCTGGGAATCAGAATACTTCATTGCAGCCCCAAGCAGTCACTGCAGCAAGTCGTTTGCCTCTTAGTCTCTCTCCAGTGCTTCATCACAGGGAATTCTGAGCTCTCCCTGGACACATCCTAGAACAGGACCTTGCACTTTTTTTTTTTCCTTTTTCGTATAAAGCTTAATGTGGTCATTCTAAAGCAAATTATTTCATTGAATCTTCACTCAAAGAGATAAGTTTTGCTTCCCACAGTCTGTGCTCCTCCTCTCCTGGGTGCTGTGGAAGCTTTAATGCATCTTGCCACCACAGAGAGCCCGGAGGTGCTGGTCCCTGTGTGATGGAGAGCAGAGGCAGCAGGAGCTGCGGCCAGCCGGGCACGGTGGCTTGTGCCTGTAATCCAAGCGCCGGGGAGGCTGAGGCTGGCGGATGGCTTGAGCCTGGGGGTTCTGGGCTGCAGGGCGCTGTGCTGAGCGGGCGTCCACGCTAAGGTCGGCATCGATATGGTGTCCTCCGGGGAGCTGGGGGGCACCAGGTCGCCTAAGGAGGGGTGAACCGGCCCAGGTCGGAAACGGAGCAGGTCAAAGCTCCCGTGCTGGTCAGTAGCGGGATCGCGCCTGTGAACAGACCCTGCAGCGCAGCCTGGGCAAGAGAGCGGGACCCAGCCTCTTTTGGCACCTTTCCCCTGCCTGACTCTGTGCTTGGCAGCTCTGGGACTGTCCATCCTGGGGAGCAAGCACAAAAGGGTCAAGTAATACTGGTGTGGGACAAGCATCTTCTGCAGATGTTTAACCTCGCTCATTCATGTGTGCTCACGTTTTGGTTATGTGCATAGTGGTTTCTTGCAGCAGTGAAGGGTCACAGTTCAGGACTCAGCCAAACCTTTGGATCCAAATAAATTTGACTATGAACATGGGAAATCCCAGGCAGTAGAATTTCGCATCATGTTTCCATCTCAGAGACCCTGCAGACCTGCAAGTCAGCAAACGTCCCTTGAGCACAGTCAGGTTAGGCAGCCTGCTCCATGCTGATTCCA